TAATTCTATTTGCAAATTATTGACCTGTCATTTATTCACTTTATTAATTATAATTAATTCTGGATCATCCCAGATCAAATATCTTCATTTGCTTCTTAATAATATCTCTTATCAATTATTGTTTGGTTGAATATGGTAAACCCATTTTCCAAAATCAATTTATCTTCTCAAAAACATCCAATTGAAATTGTTTTCCAGTTGAATATGTCAATTTACAAGAAATTGGAAAATATGAAATTTTGATTTTTGTTTATTTCATCATATTTGGGATTTTGCAAATAATGTAGGATATTGTTAATTTTAGAGTGTTTGATACATGTACCAAAGAAAATTGGAAATCATTATTATTCTTCCTTCTTTACTTTTTTGTACTTTTAACATACTTTCAACAATCAAGACCTTAAAAAGCTAAAGATAAAATAAAACTCCAAATGAATAAAAGTCTTCCAGGATATGCTTCTGGTAGGTTTTCTGATATAATCTAAGTTTGTATTCTCCACTGGACAGTGAGGTTTGGTCAACTTACCAATTCTATTGGTAAGTTAAAGATGAATTGATAATGCAATGGGATAACTGATATTAGGACATTCTCAATTGCAGCAGCTATTAATGCCTAATTACTTTCATAAGAACTCAGGTCACTTTTTTTAAAAAAAATGTCTTGTTTAATCTTGTACTTTATTTAATTGCCTCTTGAGAGAAACAAACAGATTAATAATATTGCTAAATATAAAATCAATACTTTCTCTGGAAGATAGATCTGAGCAATAGTCTGGTTGCATCTATTGAAGAATCAGTGTTTAACAGTCTAAAAAGTACACATCAAAAGGCACAGCAATTCTGTGAAGAAAACTGGTAAATATAGGATGGGAAATTTATTTGCTATTTGACAGAAAAAGCAATTACTTTTCTGGCAGTTATTTAAATCTACATTAAATCATTGTACTTAATTTGGCTACTATAATTTTCCCACTGAGAAAAGAATACAATGAAATGGCATGCAAGTTATTATTCTTTTGTCACAAATAGGTTATACAAATGAAGACAAAAAGGAGATATTTATTTTCAGTCATTTAGACAAAGGTTAGATTAAAAGTATTATACGCATACACACACATACACACACAAAATGTGTGTGTGTGTATGTATGTATGTACACACACACATACACATATATACACACAAACATGAACACGCACAAAAAACATACACAAAACATACATACAGTTATTGTATTCTACATATTAAATGGAATATATATTAGGCATGAAAATACTTTTTTCAAAAATGCTGATATCAATGGTTAATGACAGAAATACTTATAGTTTGCAAAAAATTTAGAAACCTATTTTCAATATTGAAATAAAATGGATTGAGTGACTGTGACTTTGATTTAGCATAATCAAAGTCTTTTTTTTTAGATTCATTTGTACATTTTGATTAAAAATATATAAATGGTATTAGTATTGGTAAATGTTGGCACTACACTGTTAAAAAGATGCCAATCTTATATTGATAAGATCGTATTTCATTTTATATTTATAAATTATTAATTATTATTAAGTTCTTTATTAATTTAGAAAGTGTAAATATAGTAGTAGTAGTAGATATATATATCATAATCTGTGACTGTTCAGTTCACATTAAAACTAGGAAACAATGAAAATAAAATAAAAGTAATTCAGTATATATAAAAAAATATGAATCTTAGCAACCAAGATTCACAAAACTACTGTATGGTACGGTATCAAGAGATTATATAGGATATTGAATCCAATGGAGTATTTTAGAGAACCCAGATTACAGTATCTTTGACAGATGCTTGTCCAGCCATTGCTTGAAAACATTTACTAAAGATAAATCAGATCCATTCTTGGCAATTGGTTTCCATATCAAACTGATATTACTTTTGAAACTTTTGCAAAGGTTTTAGTTGAGGAAATGTTAACTAGAGAATTTTGATTATAATATGAATATGTCCTCTTTAGCTTTCATTTCTCTTGAGATGAATATGCTTTGATGAATATGCCTCCTTATGTTAAGGACCACCTGGTCAATACCAGTGTGAATTATCATGTTTTGTCTTGAAAAATTATAATGCACCATTGATATACTTAATATACTTAAAGATGTGTGTGTGTGTGTGTGTGTGTGTGTGTGTGTGTGTGTGTGTGTTATGTATATATGCCATATGCTCCCACTCATATTTGGGCATACCAAATGCTTTGATAAAACTGTGTGTGTGTGTGTGTATGCATACGCACAAACACACACACACACACACACACACACACACACACACACACACA